ATTGTGTCTCATTAAGAAAGGTTTGGGTTATCTTTTAGAGTTTTTGAAAAACTGGTTTTCCCGAAAACCGTATCTATATTCTAGTCAACGTGTTTCGGATGGATTCTTTCTGACTATGTTTTGTCGACTATGTTGACAAGTAATTATTAACAAACAGAAATACTATATGAGCCTGTTATTATTCGAAAAATACTTTGATAAAAGCTTGAATATTCCGTACTTACGTGGAAATTGTGTTGTGTTGCATAGCTTAATAATAAATTCAAAATATATTGTAACGATGTTTATCTAATATCCTTAATAATAAGTATCGCACACACACCGAAATCATTATTGTTATTTGTAACAAGTTTCCGGTCGAAAAAAAGTAATAAGAATTTTGTAAGAGAGAACAAAATTATTTATTTGTTTCTCTCACAGTTTCTCGAAACCTCCGTCTTTTTTCTTCTCCGTTGTTCTGTATCGTTCTTTTATCGAATTATTTACCACTAATGCTAGGTTTCTATAAAAGAAGTTCCGATGATGATGCTTTTTTAGAAAATTCTATAATCAATATAATCAATTTGCATCGAGAAGCTCCTTAAAAACATAATAAAAATCACGAGACACTCGTTGATGTTTCTTTTTACTCAGAAATTAGAAGAAGAGTGAATGGATGGATGATAATTATAATAATTATCTTACCGACATACCATAGTGAAGTGACAATCGATGAAAAACTTTGTTAATGAAAATTACTATTTATAAGAAAGGGTTTAGTTTAGTAAGATTATGAAAATTTTTTACAGAAGTCTGCATAAAAAATAATCACAAATACGGATTGTGTAGCTGAAGTCATAAATAGCTTTATTCTTGGTGTCTAATCGTATGTCAAAACGTATTTCTTGCATCAAAAAAAATTCTTTATACCTTAGTTTTTCTTCCGATTTGAAGAGTATAGCCTACGGATCTAATGTTGTAAAATATTCTTTTAATTTTTCTATAAGAGCATTATAAGAATGTTATAGAGTCCAAGAAAATCGTATATGATGGAGAAACATGCATAGCTTTGTGATAAGGCTTTTATGTATGAAATTTTTTAAAGGATCTTACAAGAATCGTGTTGGATACTTGGATAAGGCAACTGCAATGCAAGTTATCCGAGCTTTATGTAAGATTTAAGTTAAGAATTGCTCATATACGTATGTTGAGGTGTCATCATTTATTAGTAATTTCCTGATAAAATGCCTTCTCGAACATTTCTCTACTCCTGTTATCTTACGAGAGAACCTTATCAACTTACAAATCGCTTTCGAGCCGAAACCTAGTGGACTATAGGTAGTCGACCATGCTGATTCCGAATATCAACCTGAAACGTCCTGCTAGGCTTCCAGACACTGATTTTCTAGAACACCAGTTTTCAAAAAACTCCAGAAAATCTCCAAAACTTTTCTTAATAGTTAATGTTTGTAGCGTGTGAAATTCTGATTAAAATGAGACATCTCCCAGCTCTGCACGACCTTTCTTTGCAAAGTTATAGAATTTACAAGATGTGCCCTAAATTCCTTTTTCCTTTCTCTTTCTATATCTCTGAGCTGTCAATGAACATTTAGGACTTTTCTTGTAAATTGTATAACTTTGCAAACAAAGGTCATGTAGAGTTGGAAGATGTCTCATTTTAATCAAAACTTCGCACGCTACAAACATGATTTATTAAGAAAAGTTTCGGAGATTTTCTGGAGTTTCTGAAAAAATGGTTTTCTAGAAAATCAGACTCTGGAGGCCTAGCAGCACGTCTCAGGTTGATATTTGGAATCAGCATGATAGACTACCTATAGTCCACTGGGTTTCGACCCGAAAGCGATTTGTAAGTTGGGACGGTTCCCTCGTTATATGCATCGTGTTTTACACGATCTATTCCTCAAAAACAAGATGCATTCAGATTAAGAGTACTCTGAATGCTCTCTTTTTGAAAAAATTTCGGATGTAGAGAAAGTGTGTGCTATAAAATGAGACGACTCCCAGCACTACACAGCCTTTCTTCAAAATGTTATGAATTTCCGAAGTTTTTCCTTCAAAGCCTAAAACAACTCAGTTTTTTAGTTTCATAAATTTTTCTGTCCTTTTCTGTACATTAAATTTTTCTTACACATAGTCTGATAAAAAAGAAAGTGTTTCGTTCACAATAAGACGTTTTCCACAATTTCCGATGAGTTTTCGTGAAGATAAACATCGCAGCAAATGCCGTGTGTACAAAATACGTTTTTTCTCGAAAAGTACTTTTTTGGTCTCGGGCTTCATTGGACCCCATTACTTTGTCTCAAGTGGCACTCATTCAAGCTAGATTGAAAGAATAAACTAACCTATGTTAGATCTGAAACAAACAAGATAAATAGTAAACGAATATTGTTATCACCAAATTTGTGTTGAAAATGTCAGCATTACCGTAAAATCAATTGTTTGGCATCACGATTTTTTGCGGCCATATAAATTACATGGGAAAATTTCACTTTTATATTCTTAATTTGAATACGACATCCTTTTGGTGCCCAACGTTTTGAAGAATTCTGATCTCGAAAAACATTATTCTGTATCTCTTTAGCTGTCTTTGAACTGATCTGAATAAATTTAAATGAATTCCTTTTTACAAATTCATTTAAACTAATGTATCTTTAACAAACGTGAATTAATTTTGACTCTTAAGTAAATTTAAATGAATTTCTAGTATTAAAATTAATTCAGATTTATTACAAATAAATATATTTAAGCGATTATGAGAGTGAAAATCAATCTGAGACAGTTTAAAAGGCAAAATGAATCCAAATTCATTCGAGATAGATCAATTTAAACTAGATTATTTCAGGTTGGTTAAAATTAAGTTATTCTCAAACCGGTCGGAATGATTTTAGGATAGAAATCATTTTACTGGGGTGTAGGATCTCAAACATTTTCTCTTCATCTGACGTCAGTTCTGAAATCGAAGAATCAGGCTCTGTTAAGTTGTAGTGGCGGGTCTTAGCTATGATTTAAAACAATCCCGAGCTTTCTAGCTTTCACAATGGCGGAGAAATTTGGGACGCACGAAAACGTAAAACCAAAAAATCTCATTTTGAGAAAAACGCAAAATAAAAAAAAGTCGTATTTCCCGGCCGAGGTTTTCAGAAAAACCTGTGTGAAACCCTTAAAACCTATCGTAAAATTAAGAAACTATAGTGTATTCGATAGCGGACGTGAAGCTCTATCAAATGCGCTATTTTTAAAAAAATCGATAAATTTCACCAAAATAACCTTTTTCTGAGCGGGGGGGGGGCTTAAATATAAATTAGGTTCAACCTCTCAAATTTACAGCTGTTTTTTATAAGAAATTAGTTAATTTTAGTTAGTTAGTTAGTTAATTAATTAGAAATTATTTAAATATTCTAACGGGAAATAAAACGAAAACAATTTTCACTAGAAAAAATCCCCCGCCAGTTGGCTTCCTCGGTTAACTCTCTATAAACTATCTGACGATATCATATCGTCAGATAGTTATCAATGATTATCGTCTAAAAAAGCAAATTTTTCCTTCCGAGACTTCTTTTGCTTGTGTCGAAAATTTGCTTTTTTAGACGATAATCATCGATATTCACAGCCATGTTCCTCAAACACTAAAAGGGGTCCTTTTCTAAAACATATCGTTTTCACACACATAATAGCACAAATACAAAGTATGGGGAAAGTGAAGAAAAAAGCAGTAGTTTCCACGTAAACCAGTTTTTCGCTCATCTCTCGAAAAGTAGACTTTGCACCAAAAAACGTACCAAGTAAATTTTGTAAATTGGACCAGGCTTGACATCAAAAAAGCAGGCGATTCTGTTCAGATTTTCCTTCTGTTCAAGCTGCTGATGTAACGACGTTGCCTACTACGAAAGGGAATTAACAATCTACTTTTTGTGCCTCGCGAGAGCATACAAATGATTTCTATACAAGTAATTGTAGCGTTTCTTAGTATCAGTCGTGCTTTTTTCTCTCGGATTTAATATAATTGATATTTTAAATCTGCTCTATTTTGAACAAGCATACTGAATTGAAGTAACAGCAGTGCTGGATACAAGCTTAGATGGATATTGTTTTTGTTTTTCTGTTCGTTCACACGATAGAATAGAAAAAGAGAAAATGGAAAGAAAAACATATATATTCAGAACGAAAAAAGAGAGAAAGTAATAAAAGACGTTAGTTCCCACGTAAAACCAGTTTTTCGTCTAGTTTTCGAAAACCAGACTAGACACCAAAAAATAGACGCCGGATTCGGAATCTACTATCTATCTATTCTAATCTATCGGAACAATTCATTTGTATTGTTAGACAACATTATTAATGTTCATCAAAATACAAAACTATAGGATTCTCTTAACCGATTTATCGGATCATAGATTCCAATGAAGTTTGACAAAAATTAAATCCCATAGAAAAGAAGTCTAGATCAAAATGAATATATCAGAATATTTCTCCGATCAGAAGCTTAAAATGATCTATCTACTGTTTTAACCATAGGTCAGAAATTTTTCTTGTGCAAACATAATACAGAATAATTTCATATTGATAAGCAAGAATCAACTTTCTGCAAATAAGACGCCATAGCATTTGATTAACTGCAGTGAATCTTTCAGATTTCCTTATCTGAGTTTTTAAAGTATGTAGCTTGTGTGATTATTTAAATGCGTCCGAACGATTCTTGAAAAAATATCAAATAAGAAAACTAGCTATTAAAAAACGTTTTTCAAATGATAAGTATGTAATGATTTCAATATTGTTTGTTGATAATAAATTGATAAACGATAAGATTAATTGTATTAATTCAACAATCATAGTTTTAAAATTTTTATTTAAAACAAAGCTTTCAATTACAACTGTAATCAATCAAATGTAGCTGATGATGATTACAGTTGTAATTGAAAGCTTTGTTTTAAATAAAAATTTTAAAACTATGATTGTTGAATTAATACAATTAATCAAATATGTAATGATATAATGAAACATTACTACTTAAAAGTATTTTTAGTAGATAATAATGCTTTACAACAGCATGTACAACATGATATAGCACAGCCAATATAACTGACAATAATAATCCCAAATGCAAACTGATACAATGTTGGATGACAATAATTAGGTGAGTATATATCCGATGTGTTGAGATTAGGACGAGCACGGAATACCCATACATTGCCCTATAAAGAAATTTAATTAAAAACTGTTACGATATTAAACGATTAACATGAGTGACACTTACCGCAATGAACCATGCGAATAAAAATAGTGATAATAGAACACTTGCCAGACATACAGTACATAATGAACATATGGCCATTATTCCTGATGCTGCAGTCTGTTTTTTAAAAAAGCAAATAATACTTAAAACCTAAAATAGCACACAAATATACTCTGTATTTAAGAAAGTTGAGAATACAGTTGCAACTTACGACTACAATGACAAGAACCAGTGTGGCAATTCCACATGAACCGGATACAATTAAATAAATTGGAATGTAAGGTTCCAATCGACATTGATTTTTATATGATGCACCAATGGCAACTTGTAGAATAGGTATAATCAAAATGACACATAATACAACAAGGCAATAAGTTGAACCAAGTATAACGGTGATCGGCCCTGGCAATACTTGATCTATCCGTGGTAGTTCCTCATCTTTAGCGCGTCCTTTTGATTGGGGTGTTGGTTGTTCTATAATGGATGGTGGTCGAGTCGACCTATCACTAACTATGTCTGTAAACGGAGGAGAAGAATTGACGTATTCTTGTTCATTGGGTGTGTAGCGCTGTAAAGCAGCCATCTAGGAAAAAGAGAGAAGAGAAGATAAACTGCTGAAAATTGAAATATGATAAAATGATATTTTATTTATAGTGAAAGATAAATACAAAAAACAATTTATTTTACCTTGAAAAAATTGATGCTGACTAACTCTGTTAGAATGAATTAATGTATTATTCAACGACGAACGATTATTCTTATTGATGAAAATTATTTTTTACAGACGTATCATTCTTTTGAAATTTTTTGAAGGAACAAAATCACAATTTTTTTAAAAAGAAATAACCTACGGCTCATACAATTTTTTCCTCTTAACTTATTAAAAAAAAAGAAACGTAGTAATTGAAGTATTTTGCTTGTTTTCTCCTGTATGATTCAGAACAGAAAAAATATTTTTCTTGATGTTTTTTTCATTTGTACCTATGAAAACGAGACTATATACATTTTATATAGACGAAAAACTGAGAAGTGTATGACATAGAATTATTCGCCTGATTTTGATTCAATTGCGTATGACAGAATTGATAGAAAAGATCATTAAATTCCTTATTATTATACGTCTTTAGTAAACCGGTTCACTCACTTTTTTGATAATAGATACTGTTTTTTTTCTTCATAATCTAAGCTGTTTAGTCGACCATTGCAGACTTTTGTATATGAAAGGAACTTTTATGAAGGCAGCACTCCGATGAACATTGGCGAAAACCACTTAGACCAAATTGGTCATCGTTGCCCAGTGCTTATCTACGTGATACAAACGTATTTACAGTGGCGACAGAAATTATTCATACACTTTTCATTTAATAATAACTCGGTAACGAAAAAAGCTATTGACAAGTGCTTTGCGCCAAAATATTCTCCGCTCTCTTTAGTATATTTGTAGATAAAAAAAAGGTAGAAATATTCATTATTGCTCTTTGTAGGCTCATTAAACCGAAAAATGGACATTTGCCGGCGGCACACATTATTCGTATGGTTAATAAAAATGGTTTTTTACGCTGTATAAGCACTGACAAAATATGAAAACTACATCGATAGATAGAAGAGAGCGCGGGCTACATTTTGGTTAAAAAATAATTTTGAGAAGCTTTTTCCTTAGGGTGAAAGTTCGACTTTAAGCCAAAAGTGCCATACTGTTCAGTATGACTGCTGAATTTCGGGAATGAGTGAGTGAAAAAAAATCCTGATTAAGCCATTTGGATCTTAGAGGTTCTGAGGTCCTCATGGGTTTCTGAACATTAAAATCGGCTTTTCACTCATCAAAAACTAACGTCATATTCGTGCTCAGGGGCAAAAACTGCGTTAGTGATGTTTCACTGAAAGTTTAGCAAACGTTCTGCTTTCGCAAACATTTTGTTTGGCAAAAATGTCTTAATCGCGTACTAATTGACCGGAGTCGGATCGAAATCAGTAATATTTAGATTGCGTGAAATTTCAATTGCTAACAATATCCAGACAAAACCCAAATTCCGGTTTTACATTCAAGTTTTGTCTAGTCACAAGCAAAATTGGAGTACTGACAGCAATTTAAAATCTGCTCATACGAAACTTAAACTGGATTTAGCCTAGAAAAACTTCAGGCAAAACGTCAATTTGAGGTTTGCCTACAACATGTATATCAGTGAATGACATAGCCATTGTACCGTTTATTTTCTACATGTAAAAAGAGCATAACTTTTTTTACTGTGAGGTAATTTTAAAATTTTTTGTTTTTTGTTTGTCTACCTACACTAGGCCTACTACTGTGCTAAAAGCCAACCTTTTGCCTTATATAATTTACGAGATATAACTGTTCCATTCGGCCGTTGATTGGCTTTTGGCGGCCTCTATCGAGATAAAACGGATTTTTTCTAATATATTTAGTCTTTCAAGAGTAATATTGCATTTCCATTTTGTAGGCCACATCTTTCTCTAGAATACCACATCCTTTGATTCCAGGCAGAGGTAAAAGTTCAATTAGAAAAAAGCTTATCTTTGCTTTGTTACTCACTTTGGAATTTCTGTCCGATGAGATTTCGAAGCCTAATGTCGGGCTAAAGAAAAAACCGGAAATGATTATCAATAAGTAGAATCAATACGGCTTCGAGTGCAAACAAATTGATAAGAAAATATAATTTGAAAAGTACTTTCTTTGTCCAGAAAATCCTGTTATATTGTTGGAAATCGAGGCATCCACAAAATGTCCTGGGAGATTTTCAATTTTACTTTTTCGATATCTCGATAAATAACACTCCGATCAAGATCAAACTTTGATCATTTTTTTACCTCATGAGATTTGATATTTGGTAAAATAATGAACCTGAAATACAGCATCGTTGAGAAGAAATTTGGAAAATGTCCGGTGAGATTTCTACATTGAGAACGAGCACTCACGATTGAAACATACATAGAAGAGCAAGAGTGAGGAACTAAGGATCATTCTTTCTACTATAGCATTATAAGAGAGGTTGAAAAATCGACTTTTTTGCGCCAGACGGATCGAGCTGAAATTTTGGGAAATGAATAGCGACTATTACTTATACATTTTCTGAAAGTTTCACCTTTACACATATAATGCTTTCAAAGATAATTACTTTTATAGTTGGCGCTAAGTGAGTAGCGGGTATTCTCATTGAACGGGGCTTTTGAACGGGGGCAATTTTTTCGCGAAGAGAAGGCAGTGTCTAGCATGATTCTCGATAATTGAAAGCTTTTCCGAAGTATATAAGCTTCGCTTGGTTTTTTGAGTGAATTTTGAATAAGTATAGTCCTCTTCTGTTGCTTAGTTGCACAAGAGAAATCATCCTAAATGGCAGTTCTACATAGTATAAGAAAGAAAGGAGAAAATATAGTTCAACTATAGAGATCAAAGGTACCGCTTACATTTTCCTTTCTTTTGATATTATCATTTTTCATTTTTCTTATTCGACTACAATGGCTTTCCGGCTTTCTCTTCGGGCCACGGTAGTTTGATAGAAAGTTAGCAATTGTTCTTCGAAAGCTTCTTCCTGTTCAAGGCGTTGACCAGTGCATATTAAGTAAATTTAATGAAAATAAAAGAAGTAAAAAGCTCAGGAACAGACAGAGAGATTATTAACAAAAAATACAATTATTAAATAACAGAGAAACGAGTAGAGCCAAAGAGGAGAAAGTGATTTCTACAAAAAGTAAAATTTGTTGAAAGCTTGTGTGATAGAGAGTCAATCGTTCCCATATGATAAAT